AGATGCTGTCTCCTACGTGCAAGAGCAGATTGGGATGATGGAGGGGGGATAGGGGGCCTGGAAGAGGGGCAGCCAGTGTGGGGGGTATGGGGGGCCTGGAAGAGGGGCAGCCAGTGTGGGGGGATGGGGGGCCTGGAAGAGGGGCAGCCAGTGTGGGGGGATGGGGGGCCTGGAAGAGGGGCAGCCAGTGTGGGGGCACCTGCACTTCAGGGCACTTAGATTCCCGAGTCCTCGGTCCCCTTGTCCGTCGAGTCAGGATAGAAAGCACGTGGCCTGTCCACGGGATGGCTGTGGGTAGGACGGCCGCGCGGTGTCCCCCGTGGAGAGAGCCGTGCTGGAGGCGAGGCCCTGTGCGTGCGACTTACTGCCGGCCCCCCGCACCCCGTCCCCCCAGCCCTGCGGCGCCCCTGTCCTCGGTGGCCCTAAACCCGACGGGGGAGAGACCAACGTGGATCACCCAAAAAAGCAAGCGGGGTGTGGGTGGAGGGAGGGGCGAGAGGTTAGGCCAAGCCACAGTGAGAACTCAGGCTGCAGCCCGGCCGTGAACCGGCCGTGAACCGCAGCCCTCCCTGCCTGTTCCCTTCTCCCGGGGCTGCATCCGTGTGCGTGTGTGTGTGCGCCGACCACACGGCTGACCCAGACACCTCTCCCTGCCCCACGCCTGGCCCGCTGCTGGTCCTGGCCCCAGGAACCTCACAACGGTGTCACCAAGACCTCGCCCTTCTCGTGGGACGATGTGGCCAGCCACAGGCCTCCTTCACAAATAGCAGGTTTGGGGGATGTCAGGGTTTGGACCCCCCCAGCCGCAAGGCCAGCCACTCCCCCACGTCCCCAACCATAGTCCAAGACAGAGGTGCCCACTGAGACAGGCACAGAGTCGGAGGGTCCAAGCTAGAGGACCACATCAACAGACACTTAGACCCAGAGACGGACCGAGAGCCACAGAAACCCCCCGCGCCCCCCCAGATCCTGGCCCGGCCCAGACCCTGGACCTGTCGGCACCTTCGGGCCCTTTCGTCCTGTTCCTCCGTCCTTCCCCTGTCACCTGTGTCTCCTTCGAGGCTCTCTACCCGAAACCTCAGAGAGAAAGTCGCGGGGCACATGAGTGCGACTGTGGAGGAGGGGAGCGGGGTACGGGAAGGGGACTGGCAGAGGTGGCGGTGTGGGGAGCAGGAGCTCACCCTCTGAACCCAGCCCTGAGCCGCGGGTGCTGGGAAGCCAGATTGGGGAGGGGGGAGCTGAGTAATCCTGTGATTACTCAAACTGTGGCCCGGGAGCCTGGCCTGCCAGGAACTTACCATCTGAGGGCCTGCCGGTGCCAGGAACTAGAACCCAGCAAAGGTCAGGGACCTCTGGGCCAAACCTGCGGCACAGCTCCAGCAGCAGCCCGCCCTGCCCAGCCCGCTGCTGCGGGAAGACGCGTGTCTCCCCAGCACCCTCTCCCAGGGAGAGAAATGCCCACCTGTGCTCTCCCTCCCCAAGTCCCTTGGCGGCGTCTGCACGAGAGAGATGCTTGGGGATCTGCGCACTCAAGCTCGGGAGGTCTGAGGGGCCCGGATTCGGCACTGGGACAAGCTCCTGCCTGGTGCCCAAGCTGGCTGGGCCTCAGCCCGCACTTCCAAGTAGCGGGAATTCCCTCCCTTCCCGCTTCTGTGCCAGGCCGCTCCCACGGGCACGAGGGTGGGTTGGGCGGCCTCTTCCCCAGCCCATCCTGGTACCTTCTGCACCACCCAGTGGGACCTCTAAACACGTGGTTCTGACGTGGTTCTAGGAAAAGAGGATGCATCTCTCCCGGATCACTTCGGGCCTCATAGGGTCACCAGGGAGCTTCCCATGGGCACACCTCACGTGGGGAATGCGTAGACAGGTGGAGACGGGAGAGCCCGCGCCCCCTGCCCCCCAGCCTCCTCTGACCTCACCCTTCCCACAGCTGCGAGAGTCCCTGACAGCGGTCTTCTCTTCCACTGCACCCGGAGCTGGCCCCGTGCCACCCTGGGCCTTGTCCAGGTGCCCTATGCCACAGAGAGGAAGTGGTGGGCGTGCAGTGGGGGCTGCAACCCCCGGGGATCTCTCTGCTCAAACCCCGCAGCCCCCCCATCCCCCGGGCCTGGTGGAGACGGGGTGCAGGCAGAGCGCCCTGGGGCCATCTCCTCCTGGCGCTCCGTCCGTCTGGAGCTGGGCCTGTCCTCTCTCTCTCTCTCTCTCTCCTTCTCCGGTGGACATTGATCAAGGAGGAACAATAAGGGTGGGAGTAGATGTTGGCTGAATTCTAACTCTGTGCCAGGTTTTGTACATGTTTTTCATCGAATGATGGCAACTGCTTGTATTGTCCCCATTTTACAGATGAGAAAACAGGGTCCGGGAGAGAGCCGATGGCGTAACTGAGGCTACGCAGCCAGAAGTGGCAGATGTGTCTCCAACCTGAGGCCCAGAGTCCTCAACCATTCAGCTCTACACCCTGTAAGGATGAGCCGATCAAGTGCACTACCACAGGGGACAAGGTTGCTTACCTGCTGTGGGGGTGCAGGGGGCGGGGGACGGGGGGAGTGTGAAGTGAGGGGGGTTGGCTA